AATTTTATGTTTCCAATAAAAAAAACCAATAAATATATGAGGAAGAGGCCTTTGTAGGCTATGCTTTTAATTTATACATTTGCATGTAGCATGACTTGTTCTAAGTTCTAACTACTGCTTTAACATGCCAGGGCAAAGGTCATTTGTTAGATTATTAGTGGTGATTAACAAGTATTGGGCCTTATATGTCCTTTTTTGTAATTTGATTGTTGTTTTGCAAAATAAAATAGTGTTGGAGGTGGAGAGGTAGGGGGGATAAAAAGGAATATAAGGTATAAATTCTAATATATCATATTGTGACATAAGATACCTGCGCTTCAAGCAAATCACATGATAAGTAAAAACAAAAATCCCATATCAATCAAATAAGTATGACAAAATGAGAGTTGAGGAAGGGATGACATGGGATACAAATCTCACAACCATACTTAAATGGTTCACCCAAATTAGTTGAACTAGTTGAATATGGAGACTAATTTTGATCAATCAACTGGATACCAAATATTATTAGAGGCTTTTGTCTTCCTTATAATATTTGGTATCAAGTTGGTTTGATTAAAATTTTATGTTTCCGATAAAAAAAAACCAACAAATACATGATGACAAAGCTTGTGTAGGCTATACTTTTAGTTAGTTAATAGAAATAAATCTAGAGATGTTTAGAGTGAATATTTTTATCATGTCATAATATACATTTTAATTGTAATGTTTGAACAGTAAATACATTATATAGTTTTTTACTAAATGGAATTAATATTTTAGGATACGAAATTAATATTTATTTTTTTTAAAAATTTCATCATTGCTCAAATAAAAAGGCAAAGCTAATAAAAATTGTCAATGTGAGTGGTAGCTGTTGCATGTTGCATCCGTCACGCCATGTGAACTGACGTTAGTGCCACCAATTTCCTTTTTTTTTTTTTTTTTTACTACTTTGAACTCTGTTATTCTGATGTCTTCAAATCTAGTACTTTCATCCTTACGCAAGCCTCTAGTTGTGAATTGCATTGTACTTAGTTCTTAATTATCATTGAAATTGCTGCTAATTGATTGCTTAAATATGCCAACGGATATGTCATCTACTTGATCAGTGAATTAACAAGAAATGTGCTATGTATGGCGTCTTATGCAATTTATTTGTTGTGTTTTGTGAAAATAAATTGGCAGCAAGGATGCGTAGCCTAGAGAGGGACAGAAGACGTAAATCATAATATAACACGCTTTGATACAAGAGATTTGCACTGTACAAGTAAATCGTATGATGAGTAAAAGAAAAAGTCTCGTATTGATCAAATGAAAAGGAGAAGGGCAGACTCGAAGTTAAAAAGATGAAATAAATTAAGAAAACTAGTTAAGTTAGTTATTTGTAATAAATAAATATTGTTTTTTTAAAATATCTTTATTCATCAAATGTATTGGTTAGAACTATCATTATTATAAAGACTATCTTAGAAATAAATAAATAAATATGAGAGATAAAGTGGATTATGGTCTTATATTTAGAATCAAAATAAAAATCAAATAAGATTTTATATTAAAGAGCGGAGGTAGTATTATTAGATGCATTTGTCTTCTCTATGATATTGGGTATGACGTTGATTTGATTAAAATTCTCTTGTCTCCAACAAAGAAAACAATAAACAAAACAAAGAAAACAATAAATATAAGAGGAAGAGGGATTTTCAGATTATGCTAAATGATTATTTTTAGCATGTCATGCTTATTGTCGATTTATTTTATTTTCATTTTAATGTTTGAGCCACATATTAATCATTAGTTATTTAGTCTATAATAAATATTTTTTATTTACAGAGTTTATCAAATATCATATACAAGATATTTGTTAGTAGCCACAGAGTCTATATATTACATAATGATACTCTATATTTGTGAAAAAAATTATGATATTATATCTCTTGGCTCACAATTTTCTAATTTTCTAATTTATATTTAATAGAAAGATTAGACGGTGACCAAACAGTAACCCTGCTTTCCACGATGTTGCGAACTGGTTTCAGAAATCTTTCTTTCCGGGCGCGCGATCTCCTGTTGCACAATCATGTGCTTCCTTTCTTCTCTTCCTCTGCTTACTCTGCTCACTCCATCGTACCCAGATTTTTCTCTTCCAGAAGCAACTTGTCAAATGAAGTTGCGTCCACCCAAGCCCACAACAGAGATGATCACTCTCAAGCTGAGGATGTTATTAGCAACGAAGGTAACGAGTCAAATTCAATCTCTAAACTTTAAAAATTGTCTTTGTTTTACTCTCATTCATTTTGAGCAACTTCTCAATTTTAGGCTTCTAACTCGTCCGGTGTGTCCCTGTTTGGGTGCGCTTAAGATGTTTGATGAAATGCGTCTGCTAATGTTTATTGATTTCTGTAATAATCTGAATGTTTCATTATAGATATTTTGGTTTTCATACAATTTGTTTTCTTCCCTTCTTACGGTTTCAGAGTTGAAGAAGCGCATATCCAAGCTCGGGGAGGGTGATGACGGAGCTATACCAGAGATCTTTGAGGGGATATTGTCGAGAATATTAGCAGGGAAGCCTGAAGAAGCTCACGATGATTTGAGAAAAGAACTTTTGGGGGAGAGAACAGAGTCAGATGGAGAGGAAACAGAGTCAGCTGATGACAGTGAAGATTTAGAGTTTGATCTTGATGAGGAGGACATGAGTGAGTCCGATAAAGAATAGGCTCACAGCAGTTTGTAACCACGTGAACTAGATCATGAATTTAATAGAGAGGGCATATGAATGTATTTGGTGCTAACTGCTAAGTTCACAGGCCTTACCATTTTATTATACACTCTTTAAGCACTTATGTGATCATTGGTCAATAGCTATGAAGAAATTACATATTCGAACATGATTTTTATGCATCAATTGTTAGTTAATACTAAGAATTTTCTTCCTTCAATTCTATCTCTTGTGGCAGAGGCCGTTGTATGTGTAGGATTGACGGAATGATCTACTTATGGGCTAAGTGGAGATGGGTCAGCATGAACTTGCGATCAGCAAAAGAAAATGAGAGCAAGTATATGGGCGAAAGGCGCGAATTTGCCAACGGGAAATTTTTGAAAATGCGTTCTTCGGGTATCAATGCCTGAGCATGACCCTGCATTCCAAAGAAAATATGGTCATATATCATCTTAAAGCCATTTCTTTCATACAAGGTTGACCATGTGATAAATTTTATATTATTGCAAACTAAATGAAATTAACTTAGAATTATGGTGTAGTTATGCGTAATTGAGCTACATAATTGTTTGACTTGTTTTCATAATGGAGGGTGAAGGATCGATCAATGGGAAAATTGGTGAAAAATCTTTCATCAAAAGCTTTATTAAGGCATGTAGAATTCATTTGAGGATCCAGGTGCGACATATATTTAGTGGTTATAGTTCTTTTTCAGTTATGTGCAATCTATCATAAATTATGTGCAGAACAGAAGACATTTATATATAGTTGAAGATATGTGATAGGGTTGAAAAGAGTTGCTTTCCACTTATTGTGAATTGCATCCTAGTTCTTATCTTCAAATTTACCACTAATTAAACAAACATTTTATCCTGATGTGTTCCTATGTAGCATGAATTGTGTTAAAAGTTGTGTTTTGCTATGGAAGTGAGGGTGAATGGAGAGAAATTAAAAGCATAGATTCTAATATTATACTCTGATCTAGAATATTTGTTCTTTTAACAAATCAGATAAATCACACTATAAGTAAAATCTGAAGTTCCATATCGATCAAATAAGTATAAAAAGAGAAAAATGGATGTTATAAAAGAGCAAGGATGACATGAGATACAAATCACATAACTATGTTTAATGATTCACCCAAATTGGTTGAACTAGCTATGGAGACTGATTTTGGTCAGTTAATGGAATTCCAAATATGATTGGAGGCTTTGTCTTCCTAATAATATTTGGTATTCCATTGTTCTGATTAAAATTTTGTTTCCACTTAAAAAAACTAATAAATGTATGAGAAATAGAGGGCGTGAGTGTTTTGAATGTTACATTTTGAAATTTGAGGAACATGGAAGGGGAAAGTGTGTGAGGAGTCAATATTTAAGCAAATGGGCTTGAATGATCTTGATCTTAGATTAATATTGATTTGGTTATTAATTAAATATAATAATTTGCACAATAGGGAACATATTAGAAAATATATTCTAACTTTTCCTTATAATTGCAACAAAAATCTTTTAAAAAGGAATGTTATATCTCTTAAAATTGGGTTTTATATTTAAAACTAGAAAGTATTATAATATTTGAATATTATTCTAGTAAGAAGATTTTATTATCTTAAGTTATGCATAGGATATGCTTTAAATTGGATGATGATCCTAAATCATAACCCTTACTTTTTATGGTCATTAAAGTCATAACAAAAATTATTTTTGAGAAATTTTTCAGCACGTAAAATACAATCTAACAGTTTTAAAATAATTACACCATCTTTTTATATAGTTTGAAAGATAACAAAATAGGAAAAAAGACAGGAAAAAAGTCTAAAAATTATTAAATTTTAAATAAGATTTGTTTCTTACACCTTAATAGATTTTGATTAGATTTGACTTGAAAATAATAACATATTTTTGCAGAAATTCTTCATTTAGGATTATACAATTCTCAGGTTCTCGTCATTATTCCAAGAAAATATATTCATTTTTATTTAAAAATGCCATAAAATTTATAAAAAAATTTAAAAATTTTAGGTACTGCATCTAAATATTTTTTAGGGAAAAAAAAGAAAAGAGAACAGCATGACCATCTAAACATTTGTGTCTTTTTTGGCATAAACATTTGTATCTTAGATGCCCGATAAATGTAGAATTTTTCACAAATAAATATGATGATAAAAATACTATCTTCCAATTTTAAATTAAAATTGCTTAAGATACTATGAATGAATAATTACGCTGGTATGAAATTCTATTATAGTATTGTTTTATTTTTGGTTTTGGAGAAACAGTGGTACTAGTCACTGCGAAGTAGAAAGAAGCGAGAAACCCCATGGCTGCAAGATCGGGACGCTGAATTCTGAGTCGGATCAAAGCTTAAACCCTAGAGAGCCATGAAACGGACTCTGCTCAGCAATGTCTCTCTCTACACTCGCAGTCTTCTCCAGTCTCCTTCCTCACACTCCCCATACCCTAATTCCTCAATCGCCCCGCTCGCCGCTTCCACTCGCTCCCGCCTCCGGTTCTTCTCCTCCGGCGGCGACGACTCCAATGAAAACCCCAACCCTTCTACTGAAACGAGCGTGGCGCCTCCCGTGAAAAAGGATGTTCTTGCCGGCGTCCAGGATGTGGCTAACAAAGGTAACTACAAAGATGTCTGTTGGCTGTTGTGAATGTAGTTTATCTTGCTGTTACGTAGTTTGCTCTAAACGAATCTGAAGCAGGCTGAAGTTGATTGGAGTTGCACTGGAAATGCTTTATGTTTTAATTATCACTCCTTTTCCTTTTTGCAACTAACGAGTTTTTCAATATACGCCATTTAAGATAAATGGTATGATAGATAGATAATCTGTTGACGCGGTGTACCCACTTGATTTGATTTATATTAGTGTAGCTAAATTTGTTGATGAGCTTTGTGCCTGTGGACTTGCGTTATATGTGCGTTCCAATGTTTAATCTTGGACTTCATACATTTGACGTGTTGTGATTTCATTTTATGCCCCGCAAAATATTTAAGGATACCTTGGTTTTTAGATCTTAAAACACAGATAGAGAAGTACTTTGGGGGCGATGAAGAAGCACTTCCAACGATTTTTGAATCAATTTTGCGGAGAAAATTAATGGAGAAGCATGAGGAGACAGATGACGAGTTGCTGGATGAATTCCAGAGGCAGCCAATTGATGACGTTAATGACCAGGAGTTTGAAGAAGATTTTGAGGAGATTCACGAGACCGATGATGAGATTGATGATTTATATAATGCAAGGGACGTTGTTATGAAGAGGATGGCAAAAGACGAATACTTCAACATGGACGAGAAGAAGTGGGCTGAGCTTGTTGAGGATGGGGTTAAACACGGAGCGCTTATGGACACAAAAGAGTGCGAGCAGATTCTGCAAGATATGCTTAGCTGGGACAAACTCCTTCCAGGTAAAACGTTGTTCTTTAACTGGGCCCTTTGCTTTTGTTCATGGTTTCTTTTATTACAAAATTCTTGGTTCATTCCCCCCCCCCCCCCAATTAGTAATATTGGATGGCATCAAACGTGATGCTTGAATGGGGATTCTGAGATTCTCTTTAGAAGATTTCTTTATCTATGTCTAAGACTTGAAGCACTCCAAAAAATTGCAATTGACTGATTGATTGTGCGTCTAGACATTACACCTCACTTCCAAGAGGCTAGCCCTGGGCAAAACCTGGAGAGTTTAGGCATAACTTTGTTTCAGTGTCATCTATGCAATTTCATGTCTATGCCCTAGCAAGCGCAAATATATATATATATATATATATTTATATTGTTTTATCATATCGTAGTTCATGATTATGAAAATGATGAGTGATGATCAGGAAAGTTACTATCTTGACCTGGCTTCCAGTTTTAATCATCTGGTAAACTATATAATATTTGAAAACTTGGCATGTTTCTTTTTATTTGATATTCTTTGGCTTGTATTGTCCGCATTGGTAATGATAAAAGTTGTTTGTGAGTCTGAGGGAGTGTTTGGTGTAACAAGTATCTTCCTGAACGGGATTTGTTTTCACTCCATTAATTGGTTGGTGCTTGGTATTTTTGGCTAAACAGATCATATTACAGTGGAGCAGGGGGTTAAGAGTTTGATCTTGATTGAATTTAATCTATGTGCACGCCTTAAATTTTAGCATGGCATGCTTCTGACATTCTCTGCATGTTTTGATAAGCAATTAGCGAGCAATTTCAGCTTTGTTTATTTGAGCTACATCTGATAATCTACTGATTTTTGTATTGGGTGAAATGTCTTTTCTAGATGAAATAAAAAAGAAGGTGGAAGAAAAATTCAATGCACTAGGGGATATGTGTGAAAGAGGGGAGCTTGAACCTGAGGAAGCTTATGAACAATTCAAGCAGTTTGAGGATGAAATGGTCGCAGAATACATGAAGATGATGGAAGCGGAGGAGCTTCCACAGTTTGACAAAACTGATTTACTTGACAAGAAAAAGGACTTAGATGACCCACCTGGTGAAGGTCCAATTCTCCGATGGCAAACTCGGGTAGTCTTTGCACCTGGTGGTGATGCTTGGCATCCAAAAAACAGAAAAGTCAAATTGTCTGTTACAGTAAAGGAGCTTGGGCTTTCAAAATACCAATTTCGTCGACTCAGGGAATTAGTTGGAAAACGTTACCATCCCGGGAAAGACGAACTTACCATAACTAGTGAGAGGTGATGTTCTATCTGTGTAATAATTTATTGATTTGCTATCCACTTCTGTAACCCTTTGGTTCTTGGCCCATTGCTGATAACATGAAAGCAACTACAATTATGTCTAAAATCTTGCTTCCCCCTATTTTGAAGGTTCGAACATCGGGAAGAAAACAGGAAAGACTGCTTAAGGACACTTCTTTCCCTTATTGAGGAGGCTGGGAAAGCTAACAAATTGGCAGATGACGCTCGGGCTTCATATGTGAAGCAGAGACTCAGGGCTAATCCAGGATTTATGGAGAGGCTGCATGCCAAGACCATGAGATTGCGAGAATCTAACCAAATTCCCGCTTGAAACATTCAGGTTTGGCATTTGAATTTGTGGACGTTCACCTGTATCAATCTGATGATATTGGTCCCGGATTTAAGTTTGGTTCTGTTTTTGGTAGTGGGATTCCTCCTTTTTTTCAGAAGTTGGGGCTTCCTCAAATCAATGTTAATTTTTCACAGACATTGTAGGAGAATTGACTCTTACAGATTAGATATCCTTTAAAGTGTATTTTAAAATTTCTCCAATAATATCGTTTGGTGTACATAATTGACGATTGATGGGTGCGGGCTGGCTGTTGAACGCTTCTGATGAAGTTGCAATCTTGAATCCATTGATGAGTTGAGTTCCCCACTCCCGTTAGTTAAAACGGACTTTAGATACCATTCCTTAAGGAAAAGGGATTTTTAGGATCCTTTCTAAGTATGCTGTTTTTCCTTTTGAATTACGGTGCGTTTGGTAATTCTATTTTTTTTTTTATTCCCAATCTTTTGTTCACTAAAGCTGTTTTTAGAGGATTTGTTGCTCCTTCTTCCAAGTACATCTTAATCTCTCTTTGGTGTTTGTAAACAAAGAGAGGTTGAGCATGAGCTCCTGTTGTAGAGAGCGACGTCTTGTGGCACATATGTATTTATATTTCTGGTTAATATTCTGGTTATCAACCCCAGCATTTATGGAATTTTCCCGTGAAATTGATAACGGAAAGTTTGTTTTTGGAAATAAGGCAAATTGATATATGAGAAAAGAAGTGTTTACATGTTAAAATAAGATAACCAGCAGATAAACTGCTTTAAATAACTAAGAAAAGGGAGGAAAAAGTAGACTTGTGTATTTGATATGCTGGTAATTAATGATGCATCGTCTAATCATAGGATTAAAGAGAGATTGAGGTATACTCTTTTCGGCAACATTTCTTGTGGCGTCTTTAACTACTTGTGGAGAACCGGGACCAGGCGACTGATGATGAAAGGGAGATGCTTGCAAAAGAGAAAGGGTGAAAGGAAGAAGAGTTCGCAGAAGAGAGATGTGCGGCTGTGAGGGGGAAGAGAGAGAAGGGCAAATCTGGCAGGTGGTAATTTGAATGGATATTAAATGCTCTTTGTAATGGTGAATGAGCTTATTAAAGACTCACAAGTGGCTTTTATCGTTGTTGAAAAACACTCAACTTTTGCTTCAGACGTTAGTTGGGCTAAAAGTCCATTGAAAGTCTTAAACAACTCATAATACAATTTCAGGTTCACATACTCTAAGGTAATTTTGTAACTTCGAATGGCAATCCAAACGTGGCTTTAGGTGTTAAAAATTGCATGGCTATTAGGAATCGGTTAAGATATTTGAGTTGTGTGTGTGTACGGAGTAATAACGCAGCAAACATCGCCAAGTCACCCAAAAAAAAAAAAAGGCCAATTAGCAATGGTGGAGGAATAATACTGCCTCCTATCTTTTTTTTTTTTTTTGTAGTGATGCTGCTACCTTGTATTTTTAATATAAAAGCTATTTAGAGATTAATTTTGATCTTTAATATAAGATTTTAATTTTTTTTTTAAATTTATACTACTTCCAATTTTCAATATGAGAGCTTGTTGATGGGTAGATTTTATTCAAAAAATAATATCTCAATTCATTTTGTTTCTTATTTTTTTCCCCAAAATATGCCCATTGATTGTAAGGGGTTTTTTCTAAAGGATAATTTTAATCATACAATGCATATGATTGAAAAGAATAGTTTAGGGAGATTTACACATGTTTGTCACAAGTAAACAACTTAATAATTTTTGTAAATATCTTTAAAGTAGTTATTCGGCTCTTATATTAAGAATCAGAAGTAGTAATTTTTTTTAAAATATCTCTGTTGATTATGCATATGAAAAGGTTCTCATTAAGAAATAGTCTCAATGCACATAATTAAAAATAATAGTTTAGAAAAGTCAATATATATTTGTTAGAAATAATCAACTTAACTAATTTTTTAAATATATTTTTAAGTTAGTTATTTAGTTTTTATATTAACTACCGGCCTTAGTATACTTTGAAAACTGAATGGGAAAATTACACCGCAAATACAAGTCCAGAATATCATAACTTCATGACCCATATAAGAAGCTAAACACAGTAATGGAACAACCTCACGCGATTAGTTGAACCAACTACCCCAGATTCTACCATTTAATTGCCTTTTGTAAATTGTCTTGCCATAAAAAGCAAAAAAAAAAAAAAAAACTTTCAGAGTCTGTCCTGAGACTAATGAGCCTTTGGGACTCCAAGAGCCAACCCGCCCAAATTTTTTTATTATAAAAAGAAAGAATGAAAGAAAGAAAGCAAAAGGGGTTAACTAAAGCTGCAATATTGCGAATGGAAGTCCCCAATATCAGCATGAACATCAGAAGAAGAACAATATCAGCACCAACACCAGTATGATGATTAGATCTGCTTTATTCTTCAAGTCTTCCTCTAGACGAGCAAAATTGTACTGGGGGTTAACATCAAAATTTTCGAAGATATGACTAACAGGTGAAGTTATAGATTGAGGGATGGAAAATGATAAATATAAAGAAGGAAAAATAAGAAAAATCATACGATGCTTAGATCTTGATCGATCACGAGCGAGTGTGTACAAATTCCCTAGTGAGATGCAAGTTGTGCATTTCTCAAATTTCAATTTCTTTTGTTCATTCATCGATAAGCCAGATTACTTCGTTTGGCAATAGTTTGCTTTCGTTTGTTGATTAATTGATTATTTTTGCCAATTTGTTTGATTTGATTTGTTCGTACTTGTTGAAACCTTTTGAGTTGGAATTCTAGTGCCAATGTGAAGTTTAGGTGAATTTTAGTATAAACGTTGTGTGTCTTCACTTCAGTCTTCACGGATATGCAGAGGACTTTGTTCTAACTAGAACAAAGCATGGTGAACCCCCCCAAAAAAAAAGCAAGAATAACAACAAAAGAAACAATAAGAACCACATCAACTATATTCTTCCAGTGCTTTGATATGACTATTAATTCTGCACATGGTGATCTTGAAAATCTATTCTGAGATTTCGGTGTAAATACTCACAAATCCAAAATTTAAGACATGAAAGCACACGTGTACATAACTAACAGAAATTTGAGTTCTTGCTCACTCTTTTGAGACCAATCCTTTTAATAATAAAACTACTTTCTCATCATAAATCAAATGGTTTGCACTCGATTGTTTTGTGTGAACAGGTGAAACACGTTAAACAAAAGATTTATGTGGCATGAACATCTTCTAGTATTAGGAATGAATGGTGTTTGAATTGCGGAGGAAAATAAACAAAGGAAGAAATGTAAGGCTATGGCCAAGGACATTCGATACATAATGAACCTTCTGTTTACGCTGAATAACTATGGAATCCCACAACAATCAAAATTTTGCAACTTAAACATTTTCTGCAAAACCTTGTGGTTGCAGAACAAAAGGGTCTGAGACTTTCTGGCAGCTTGCTGCTGCTCATAGAGGCATTAAAACTAACAGTAGAACTGTGACTAAACCCTCAAGTCTGTGAGTTGTGTGAGAATTAGTTGGAAGAAGGAAGAAGAGAGTCATGCACCACAAGCAGCGCCACATGCAGCACCACATGGTGCTCCATAAGGCTCTGATTCTGCAGCTCCAGAAGTTTTCTCTTTGGATACACCTTCTGCACAAGAAAATATTATTGCAGACATTATGCAGAACATAACCAAAGCTACCCACAAGATCCCCCAAGCATTTCCAGTCATTCCAAGCCTTGTTTCTAAATTGGTCAGCTCTCTCCATTCTCTTGCCATCTTTTTCTTTCTCTTCGTTTTGCTCCTCTCGGCAGCTGGTCTGTTCTTGCTATTTCAGCAGTGAGCGAGCAAACCCACTTGCGCACAGGCTTTTTATATGAGTTTTAAAGTTAGTGTTGTGGAATAAAATTATTCGTTGTCTGGATGGATATATAGATTAACCTTTTTATTTTAGTCCTACACTAAAAGATCATGACTTCTTTAGTTTAGGCTCTCCATTATGAACATTTTCCGTGTTTTCCTGTGCATAAATAGTTGGTGAACCTCTATTATTAAATTTATATCCTCTATATTACAGAAATCTGTAGAAGACCTTTATTATTCCAATTGGCTTGGGCATGGTAGACACAAGGGAGATTTTAGGACCAAAAACCCTGGAGACGATATGTGCCTCTAGCAGTCAACTCTGCACGTGATTTAGTGTACAATTTGTGGCCTTTCTGTCTTTTCATTTACCCATTTTAGTTACTCTTTCTATTTTTTAATTCTTTAATGTTTCTATTCCCCCAACTACATCCCTTCACATGTCTCAAGCAAAATTCTCCAGCCTTTAATATACTCAGGACTTTTAGTATTATGGTTCTTAATATAAGAGTTAATTGACTCATTTGAGTAGATTAATGAAACTAGTTAAATTAGTTGTTTATAATAAATAGATGTTTTTTTCCTAAAATATTTTTGCTAATCAAGTATATTAGCTAGAACTACTATTATTACAATAACTAACTTGGAAAAAAAAATGAACAAATATAAAAGACAAAGTAGATTGGCATCTTATATTTAGAACTAAAATAAAAATCAAACAAGCTTTTATATTAAGAATCGGAGATAGTAGTATATAAATTTTTCCGTGCATCACATGGGTAGGTACTCTATTTTAGGTGAATATGGGATGAAAAGGGTAAAGTTAGAAGCATTATGGAAGGCCAAGTCCACAATCTTCTAATGTGGGAGGAGCCAAAATGAGATTTTTCTCCATGGAACTCTCTCTCTCTCTACTGTAAGGAACGTGGTGAAAAAGTTGTGGAAAAAGTTGAATATGTGATAATTGGATCTGCAATAATTGAGGCACTGTGGTTGTAATGAATTCAATTGTGGAGGCTAACGTGACAAGAAGTTTGTCAATTTTTGGAGACAGAAGAATGGTGGGATTGTGATGGGCAAGTTTTTATGAGGTTTCAGAGGCCACTTCCAACAAAGTAAAGGAATTGGCCTTCATGTTTCAAATCATAAACAGATCATACAGATTCAACTTTTTTCCCCCTCCCAGTGGTGCACTTGGGGAGGTTTCAACTAAGCCAGGATCAACCATATAATATATAAAAAAACGCAATTATTTCACTTAGTGGTTGATAATTCTTTAATCAATCAGTTTTCAACACAGCAAAAAAGACTCGCAACAGTATATAAAACGAAGGTTATGAGGATCTCCACTAAGTGGAATTTGGATGCCAATGAGAATATATTGTTGTCTGTGAAGAGGGTTGGCGGCATAGAGTATCCTAGCTAATCTGTTGGTCTGCTCCATTTATATATGTCCTTTTCTTTTTGCTCTGTTTCGAATTCAGCGTCACAAGGCACCACTACAGGCTGTAATTTGAATCGAATTTTCTAAGTTATGAGGGGTTTCTAAATACAGAAGATTTAGCAACTTTAGTATAACTAAAGTACAAGAATTAGTTTTGTGAACGAGGGACAAAATTAAGGTTAACAAAAGGACAGAGACTTCTAGGCATAAGGAGGATGTAAATTGTGATTTGGGAAGCGTTAGAGAAATTGGTACTAATCCAGCACAGAGATCAAATGAAGAACACAAACTCAGCCACACACACAATAAATGTTTATTTTTTTAGGTGGAACAGAATCCCAAATCACATTAGATTTGAGACTAATTCCTTTCGAGCCGGAAGCAGTTAAAGAATAACTCTCCCAGCAAGTACGTTTCTGGATATTTAAATTTGTTCTTCTCCTTACAAAGTAAGATCATTGGCACTTCAATCAATAGCTTATTGATGCAGTAAAGGTTTATTTAAACATGTGACTAGTATGTTTGAAGTCACATGTTTGAATACGATGTTTAAGTGTGAATTTCTGCATTTTGTTCAATTTTGTTTGCTTTGAATAAAAAAGAAAGTTCTCATATAGTTATAGGACAAAAAATATACTAAACAAATTTAAGGCGTGGATTTTCATTTTCAAAAAAATTCATTCTTGGTTTTATGAAGTTAACGTTATTTTTACAAGCCAAAGCCCGTTGACTCAAATGGAAATTATGAACAATGTTATTCTTATAGGAAAGAATTATGATAAGGTGCTCATAATACAAGATTTAAATGAGCTGAATCTTAAATATTTAGCTCATTCTTATCAACTGAACTAAGATAACAACATAATTCCACTAAAAACCTTAGAACAATAAAGCTAATTAAATAAACTCAAAAGGCAATATATATACTTAGTAGTATTATCTTTGTGGCCTCTCACTTAGTGGAGGATATAGATGCTTCATGATCGCTCATAGTTGTAATTAATCACTCTAAAGTCTAAACTAAAATAACACAAAACAACCAAGAGTTAATCCAGTTAATAAAGAGTCGGCTTATAACTCATAAGGTCATGAGTTCGAATTCCGCTACCGATGCGAGGATCTTGTTGGTGGGCGATAGGCATTAGGTATGCCCTGGTCTTGGTGAGTTCTCGAGACCCAACTCACCTAAATCTTTTTTCATTAAAAAAAAAAGACTAAACAAACAAAAAGGCTTTTAATGCAGATACAAGCTGACGACGTCAAAGACTTTATATGCAAAGTCCAATTAATCCCATCTCTAAGGGCGCTGTCCTTTCAGCAATCTGAAGAGCCACATTGAAATTATTAGTTTCATTTCACCCTCTTCTTCTAACCATTTTTATTATAAATATTTTTAAATTTAATCACATAGATTTTGAATTATATACTACAATCTTAAAGAGCACGTTTTTTTTCATTATGATGCTCCATAAGAAGATTAAATAAACATATTTATGATAAAATAAGACAAAATGATATAGGTATACATGGAATGTAGACAAAGCAATATGTTGTTTTTAGTTTTTCTTTCATGTGTTATAATATGACCTTGACCTCGCATTATGTCCTTCCAAACAGAAATATAGTGATTCATTTTTATATATTTAGTAAATAAATTTTATCCTATCTAGTAACTTCATTTTTTAAAGAGTTGAATGGTGCAAGACAATAGTTATTACTACTAATTTTAGAATAAGATCAAAATGGCTTAAAGTTAAACCATATAAAATCTAAATACTACTACCTCCCGTCCTTCATACTCTCCCAGTCCTAAATGTAGAACCCATTTTATAACATAATTTGTATTATTATAAAATGGGTCTTACATTTGAGATTGAAAAGAAAATAAGATACAGAATAGGATTGGAGGTAATATGTACTCCTCCGGTCCTAATTATAAGACCCAATTGACTTATTTGAGGAGATTAAGGAAGTAAGTTAAGTTGGTTATTTATAATAAATAAGTGTTGTCATTCCTAAAATATCCTTGCTAATTAAGTATATTGACTAAAACTATCATTATTAGAAGGATTATCTTGGAAAAAAATGCATAAATATAAGAGACAAAATGGATTGGGTCTTATAATTAGGACCAAATAAAAAGTCAAATTGGGTCTTATAATAAGGATCGGAGGAGTATATACTTAATCATAGTTTTTCATAAACCGCGTGAAAAGAGCCCAGTAGGTCCAAACACAATTTTACATAAACTAACATAGTTATAAACACCTATTAATAATTTTTACAATAATTAAAAAAATTAGTTATTTTTTATAAAATGTCAAAATTACCCTCAATAAAAGCCAGAAATAACCTACACACTCAGCACACAAACTACCATATTTTGAACATTCAGAGTACAGAACCAACAGCCTCTTTTTTTTTTGGTACAAGTGAAGGCCAAAAGCCCAAATTAAATACTGTTAGGATTGATTCCTGCACAATCATGATCCACTAGAGTTTGCAATCTCTCAGGGCAATTATCCCAAAAAGAGGAGTGAGGGATGCCCATCTTCGCAAGTCCGTCTGCCACCTTGTTCCCTTCTCTTGTTGTGTGCTTCAGCACAATTGTCCAGCTGAAATTCAGTAGCTCACAGATTCTAAAGAAAACAGGATTTCCATTTTGAATCTCAGCCTCTTTTATTAGAGTAAGGGTGAGATGCCATTTGAACAGTAAGCTATTGGCTTTGGATTAATATAATCTTTGGGTTTTTAAGTTTGTTCTTATTTTCATATTAATTTTTTAAATTTCAAACTATAAGTTTTAACCCTTTAAGAGACAAAAGGGCCCACTTTTTTATTGAGTTATAGGGGTTAATGTTTTAAATGTAAAGAAACTTGGGAGACCAGAACCTATAACTTGAAATTTAAAGAATCAAAACCAAAATGAGGATAAATTTAAGAGACCAAAATTTGAATTAACCCCTTGACTTTTCAGTATTATTTGTAAAAAAAAAATGATAATTGACTTTTTTGACCTTGGCAATTGATACAAATTATATAAATTTATTAATTGGATTATCATCATTGCGTTGTGCATTTTGATTATTTTATGATTGCCGGTGACAAGGGCCAGGAATTTAATGCGAGACTTTCCGGAAAAGAATCATCGTACAATAATTCACCCAATGAAACGTTATTATATGGCAGCAGCAGCCTGTGCGGACAAATATGGTGCCGGTCCTAAATAATGCATTTGTCCATGGCATACTATTTAAATCGCTTCCCATTTTTCTTGTCCTTTGGCCAGTGGATCCCATGTCATATCAGGTTCCAAATAAATTACGATGTTATTCACAATTCATATTAAATTTACAAATTTATGCTGACAAGGTCTCTCTTTTTTTTAAAAAAAAAAATTTGTCCCTCTAAAATATAGATAATTTAATAAATATAAAATTAGGTTAAAAATCTCATATAAGACGAAATATTATTTTAGGAATTTAAATTATATGATTTATATTTCTACTTTATTTTCTAAATTATAGATATCTAAGACTAAAATTTTTTTTTATTTCATTATATTTTAAATAAATTTACATAATATACAAATATATTATGCTCTACATCACTTTGTTCGATTTTATGTTTTAAAAAACTCACAATTTAACCATATGTTCCCGAATATCCATGTAATATTCTTATTACTCCCAGCAACAGAGGATCTGGCTTGTGGGTGTGGCAGCAGATAGGGGGAGATCAAGTTTGTTTTGCGGAGTACAAAGGGAAGCACTTGAAGGTTTACAAAACAAACTTCAGATCACAAAACGGAATCTGGAGGAGATCAAGTTGAAACAACGTACTTCGCCGGAAAGAGACAAATGACGATGCTCCCAGGCCGCCATTCATCTTTGGAATTAAAAATTTCCCAACCAACTCTTTCTTGGACGGATACTTTGTCACAAGTAGAAGGAATTAACAATGTCGCTTGACAAAATATTTCTCATAAATCCTTTCCTCCGGTGTTCCATTTCAATTCGATTACTCGAAATCTAACATGCAGGACGCTATCACTATGAAGTCACTATCCCACAGTCTCCTCTGTTTTCCTCCTCTGCTAACGAAGAGACCCCAAAAATCTCAATCCATCTCCACCAGCCCTGCCGGAAAGTTCTGTGTTTTTCGGGCGGAGATGCCAGCTATGACGTCTGTAGCAACACCCACGAGCTTTGGGTTCGTGAATTTGATGGAGACATTCACTGTGGATGTGCAAAGAGCGGAGAACAGGCCATTGAACGTGCCTTTGGTCGCCCCTTTTACGATCGCTTCTTCGAGATTAGACAAGGTGGAGAACGTGGCAATTAGAGTTGAATTGAGGAATGGTTCTGTCGGGTGGGGAGAGGCACCAATCTTGCCTTTTGTCACTGCAGAGGATCAACCTACTGCCATGGCCAAGGCCGCTGAGGCATGTGACTTCTTGCGGCAAGCTCCTGCGCTGACATTGGGCTCCTTGTTGAAGGAGATTGGGGCTATTCTTCCAGGCCACGAGTTCGCTTCGGTGGGTGACATTGAACTTTGGTTTCTTTCTATTTATTGATTGTATTGTTTGCTATTATGGCAATTTCATTGTTTGTAGTTCTGGCCTGATGCTATATTCATTTACTTTTGAAACTGACGTGTCTACGTGCAATTGCTTTGAATGCCCAACTGAATGCCATTTCAAATTGGAGCAGAAAACTACTATGCATCTGTTACCTTTTAAAAAACCCTCCTTTTATTTCAGGCCAACCAAAAAAAAAAAAAAAAGAGGCCTACTATTTATCATTTTGGAAATGTCTTATTAACTGTAAATTCAAACAATTTTTATTCTCATGAAGTCTGTGATATTTTAGGTTAGGGCTGGAGTGGAGATGGCATTAATTGATGCTGCTGCTAATAGTATTCGGGTGCCACTTTGGAGGCTTTTTGGTGGAGCTTCAAATACCGTAACTACTGATATAACAGTAATGTTCTTATTTACTCCCAAACTGACATGCCTGTCATTAATTTGCAAGAGACTCTATCTTTCGGCAAAATTGTAATACTTGCAGAACTAATATTTGATTTCATCTGCATGAATACTAAAACGAAAAGAATTGAAAGATTTTTGCTTGTTGGAAAAAAAACATTAACCAGTTTATATATGTAGATCCCGATTGTTGGCCCAGCTGAAGCAGCTGAATTGGCTTCAAAATATCGGAAAGAAGGATTTAAGACTTTGAAGCTCAAAGTAGGCAAAAACTTGAATTCAGACATAGAAGTTCTTCAAGCTATACGTCTTGCCCACCCAGAGTGTCAATTTATTCTGGATGCCAATGAGGGATACAACCCTAATGAAGCTGTGGAGGTTCTCGAAAAACTACATGGTAAAAAACTGCCTATACATATATAGAGCTGTCTCATTCTCCAGAATATATGCTCCAAATGATGACAACATTGTGACACTACAAATGCACCTAAATTATTGAACTTTCGTGGCATTATTGCAAAGCTTAGGTGATGGAGCCTATGAACTTAAAAGTACTTTTCTATCGCAGAAATGGGGGTAACTCCAGTTCTATTTGAGCAACCAGTTCATAGAGATGACTGGGAAGGTCTTGGATATGTGAGCTTCATAGCAAGAGATAAATATGGTGTATCTGTGGCAGCTGATGAGAGCTGTCGGAGTTTAGATGATGTTTCCAGAATTGCAGAGGGAAACCTAGCGGATGTGATTAATATTAAGCTTGCGAAAGTTGGAGTTTTGGGAGCCCTTAATATTATTGATTTGGCAAAAGCTGCAGGATTAAATTTGATGGTAGGTGGTATGGTTGAGACAAGACTGGCTATGGGTTTTGCTGGCCACCTTGCTGCTGGCCTTGGATGTTTCAAGTAAGTATCACTATTGACAAGAAATATGTCTTTAACTCTTATCTTTCTATTTCATAGAATATTGCACAACTTTTGCAGGTTCATTGACCTAGATACACCACTCCTTCTTTCTGAAGATCCAGTCCTTGAGGGTTATGAAGGTATCCTCCATCAAATTTTCAGTGCTTTTTATATTTAGGTTCTTACAGTATGATGTGGTCCTTTTCGCAAGTCATTAAGGCTTGAGTTGATTAAACTTTTGAAACAGTTTCAGGCGCCACTTATAAGTTCACAAATGTTAGAGGCCATGGTGGATTCCTTCACTGGGATAATATTGCTTGGTAAGTTTTTAGTTTCCTTCTGCAATTAGAGTGATGCTGTAATTCCACTACAGAGCAGCGTATCTACAAAACTATCACAGAAGATAAACTCTCTGGTCTTGAAAGATCCAGGAAAATCTTGAATAAAAATCATCTAATGCCTCTAAATGCAATATCTAAACTGGTTCTTAAAAATTAAAGTAATGCTCCCTGGGCACATTATTGTAAATTCTAATTTTCCTACTTTCTTTCTTCATGGGCCTCTAATGATGGGGTTTATTTTGGCGCAACTAAGCCTTCTGTTTTTTCTTTTCTTTTCAATGAATCATTTCAACTCAAGGTAACAAGATGGATCAGAGGTTGCATTATTAAGATGACATTTTTTATATTTGGAAAGTGACACTTATTTGAAATGATGTTAGGTGTCAAAAGTGACCTCATTCCAAGGGAATCCAAGTTAAATGCTCATTTGTGCTGTCTATCACTCTACCTGCATAATTTAAGCTGTTCATTAAAAATGACAATAACGCACCCTAAGCACATTATCTTAAATTCAAACTCTTCTACTTTCTTGCTTTATGAACTTCTGATGGTAAAGAGTTAATTTTGGAGCCACTGACCTCTTTGTTAGCTCAATGGTAACAAAGTGATCCCTTCACTTGAATGGTCAACAAATATCACTTTTTTAACTTTGACACTAAGTGTTGAAAGTGATCCTCATGCAAGTGTAATCAAAATGAAATGCTTTTTCCCCTTTCTCTTTTTGTTTTGCTGTCCATAACTCTTATGAATTTATTTCAACATGTATAGGGCGAAATTAGTCCTTTGATATGTCAAGTTGTTGACTTTTTAAATGACTTCCGATCAATTTATCTGCAGAAACGAGAACTGTGAATGTTCTCACAAACTCTTAAATCCCTGAAAAGGATTATTGGACGAGTTGCCTCTGCCCTCTGCAAATGGATTCCTCGTAGATAAAATAACAACGGCAAGAGGATTGGTACTAGGAGAATAAACTTATGCTGTTATGACATTGTTGGATGGTAGTTGTAATAACAATCATAATAAGCGAAGATTCTGTTGCCTGGGAAGTGGCCATCATTAGGAATTTTCTACGAATTGCACTTGTTTGTGGAAAATAAGGTGTCCTTGAGGCTTCGGACCAAGTAACAGGTAATTGATAGAAGTAGTTGTTGATTATGTTGTACTTCCAAAGTCAAGTCTAGAACTATAGTTATCCTGTAGCTTCCATTATACATTGAATAATACTAATAAGAAATCATTTTCTGTGCGTCGTCCACACCCTTAATATTATTTGTAAAAACAATCATCTGTATCATGATGCAGAAAGTAAGGTAAATGTGGTAGTTGAAAGTTTATTTATGATCACTTCATTATCCCTCATGAATCTTCTTTAAAATTACACTTCTCTTGCCTTGGACGTTCCAACTTGACTTACTCCTAATGTTCAAGCAGATTGTGAAATGAGATTCAAATATCTTCTAGTGGTTTAGGTCTTCTAGTTCAATTGACACCAGACACCTTATTTAAGAAAACTTCATTGAGTTTAAACCTTCAGTAGAGGGTATATAGGTGCGTGAGATATAAATTATTTTAAAAAAAAAAATCTTCTAATGGTAAGAGGTTAAAAGCATGTCACTTAAAAAGAAAAAAAAGAAAACCCATCAAAAACTACGGTTTTAGACTTCAGTCTTGCATTTGCCAAAATTATGATTTTGATAATTTTCAATGTGAAATCAAACATGCATTAAAATGAAGAGAGAAATAAAGATATGAACCTTCTCCAAGTGTTACAACTATTTTCATACTTCTTCACGGGTTTCTTTAGTAAGTAGAAAGAAGCCATACAGGTATAAAAGTATACAGCTTCGCACGAAGTAACTTTTCACTAGTACAAGTAGAGAACATGTCAACTTCGTGAATGTATCTTCTGGTAGTTATTTAACCAGTAATTAAATTCAAGAATTGGGTTTAGTCAAGTCTATTAGTCTACCCGTCTGTCTTGTGGGACAGACTCATCTCTACTCTTGGGACTCCATTTTCTGAGAAAAAATTGCAGCATGAACATGCCTAATTCCCACACTGCTTATATAATCATTCATCATTTCATGCCTGTATTCCTATATATTGCATGCTCCTGGTTCTGACCCACAGAATTACCTCATTTTTCGTCATTTATATTTGAAAACAAAGAAAAGAAAACTGGCAAAGCCTAGGAAAACTGTTTAGTAACATTGGCGTGAATCTGCACGATCACTTTTATGCTTCAACTATTCATTAATTGCCGTTTTTTAGCATACTTTGTAAAGTAACTAACCCTGATTTTCCAGCAAAAGGGAGATGTATGGCTAGATGAAAAATAAATTAAAGAAAAGAAAAGGAAGATGAGTCTTGGGGGAAAAAAGAAGAAGAAGTAAAAGTTGGATGCTCGATACAGTGAACAAAGCTGGTTGTCTTGTGAGATTATCATTGTGCAGCACTCTCTAGACATTGAAATTGACCAATGTAACGATGATGAATCATCAATGATCAAGTAAGCATGAAGATTAAAAAGTTAAAGGTGCCATAATGTGAAGGTCCCATCCAATGATGATAGCTAGAATTTTTTTTCCTCACAGAATAAACTAAATTAATATAATTGAAACTAATCATAATGCGTGAATTCATGCTTTATTAAATCTCTCTTTTACTTTTAGACGGTGAATTATTTTAGAAGTAAGCCATAATGATTGTGTATGGCATGCAAAAAACTATTGCACACCCAAGTAAAATGTTGACTAAGATCCTTTCCAGCGATATAAATTACCAAAGCACAACCCAGTAAAATTGGTTAAACCTAGATTCCCTTTTATCCACCTGTGCTGAATATGTGCATTTCACCATTAGAAATTAATATTTTCGCAGTAAAACTAAAGCAGTCGCCAAGTTCAGATTGATGATATGTATGTTCCCATTAATGAGAGAAGTTGAAGGAGAAGAATGTGTGCATCAAAAAACAGAGGGGGGAAAAACAAAAGCCTTCTCTTAGGAAATCGGATGAGATTTGCCTTGTCTTGGTGTCTTCCACTAACAGAGATCAATGATTGTTGCTGCAAACCTGAACAAAACGGAAAGTTTGAAAGATGAGGCCGCCTACAAAGGCAAAACTGCGCATTCTTTTGAATTTTAAACAAGTCCCACTTTGTAGTCTTTTTGTAGACAAAGATTTCACATTTAAAATATGAAATCTATCCTTCACTTTTTCTACCCCCGTTTCTAAAGAAAATCTTGTAGATGATCATCATTGATTAGTGATAAACAACAATCTCATATCAGAAGATCACTGCATTCTGAATACACTAATGTATTGGCATGCTTTTAATTAATATGCTTTTGTTTTTTACAGATAACATTGCACAGTGCTAATCATAATATATGTGTATTAATTGAGCGTGAACTATTTAGTGCGTGAATTATGATGAAGGCTAGTGATTGTAGGCTCCATACCAATTCCCAAGTGCGTGGTCTGTTAATGATATGAACATGTTTGGCTTCATAATAATATGAAGCATTGCTCTGTAACAAAATACTCACATCGACATCACCGAAAGATACCCACCCTATTAGGCTGAAAAGTGGTTCCCCATTCACCATCCTTCTTGCATATCTGGAGAAGGAGAAAGAAGTACCTTTTTTAGTAGTATTCTTCCTCATATGGGTGACCATAATACGTTAGTGTAAAGGCATAGCTTTTTCTTCATTTTTAATTCATGTGCATTGATTTTATTTTTCTTTTTTTTTTTACCATCTAAAACTTGAATACGAGCCCTTCTCAAATTCATTTGCACAAATGACTTCTGTTGATTTTATTTGTGTAAGTAACTTACAAATTTTAAGCTACATATATGACTCCTTTGAACTTAGTTTATGTGTAGATAACTTTCTAACACGTCATTCCCTGTCTTGGTGAGATGATGTACTAATTAACAATAGAAGTTGTCTATATTATTTAAAAGTTCGAGAGATTCATTGTCAAAATTTGAAAGTCAAATAGTTATATGCATTTGATATAAAAATTCACAAGACTCGTGTAATTTAACTCTTTTTTTATGAACATGTATAATTTAACTTTTGAAATAAAGGTTTTGGCACAAATATTTAAGCAAAGTTGTGTGTTTATCTATTTTTGGGGGTGTGTGTATATCTATTTATTATTAAGTTACTGAATTTTCTTCAAATACTCAGTCTATTTGTTGATGTAAACAATATGTAAGTGTCATATTTTTATCAAGAAAATGTGATGGAAAATGCTTAAAATTATATTTTTTGTCCTCCAGAGAAAGTGAACTTTATTTCAATCTCTTTAGTATTTTTAGCATCCAATAAACCCATTAGATAAGGTGTGTAACTCCTAATGCACCAGAGGCTCATTCATTTGGTTCTGACATTAGGAATTTCTTTGTCCAAGCTTTTCTGTTCGAGAGATTCTTCCATTTCAACCGTGTTTCTTGAATTGTAGTGTCCTTTCATCATTTCCCCTTCTCTTTATGATGAAGTAGAATTATTGTACAACAAAATGACGTCAGAAAACGTTGTAGAAACTGAAACTTGCAAATCTGCATCAGTTCTGACCTTATCTGTTACTATTGGTTTGATTATTAAGTTCCACCGAAAGATAAAATGTCATGATGCCTTCAAGTCGTGACTTACGTGGCATAAGCTGTTCCAGAAGTCTTCAACCTCGAAAAGAAAAAACAAAAACTTTCTTTACATTCATATTAGGTGCTGTTCTATGTAACTTGGATTTAAAAAAGCCTGCTTTGTTCCCATACATTGTGATGACAATTTTACTTTTTATGTTCCTTGATAGAAGTCTTCAACCTCGAAAACAAAAAACAAAAACTTTCTTTACAGTCATATTAGGTGCTGTTCCTTGTAACTTGGATTTAAAAAAGCCTGCTTGTTCCCACACATTGTGATTACAATTTTACTTTTTATGTTCCTTAATAATATTATTATCTGTAGTCCTAGCATATGCTCTTAAAGACTTGAACAATTCGCACTCTCACAGACCTAAAATTTCAAGTTTGAGAGTGGAAATCATGTGATACATTATGTAATCTTGACCTAATTACCAAGTTTTAAGACTGAAGTACCTAAATAAATGCATGCAATAATCGTTGAGATTTATATGCACCTTAGATTCTCTAATACTGTGAACTACTTAATGAGATATAGTTGTCTTAGTAATTCTTATTACATATGTATGAGAAAGTAAAGAAGTCAAATATTTTCTCAGAAGAACAAGTCTAGAGTAGCTATGCTAAATATAGAATCGGTAAGCATAGTTTAGTGATATATCCCTAGACCTGAGCTAATTTACCTTCTTCAAACGGTGGAACAAACTCTCGGCCCCATACCTTTCATCTTATGGTTTCACATTATCTTATAGTACTAACTACCAACCCAAACCCTAGTGACATCACAATTCCATAAACTATTCATTTATTCCTTCTTCATAATTATTTTTTCCTTGGCACTAGGCTTACTCTATAAATAGAGGAATGGAAACACAACCCAAAACGCACCAGACCAATACAGCAGCATCTAACTATCCCTCTTGCTCATTCACACACAATCTTAGGCATCCTTTAGAGAGGATGAAGACATCACAAATTGCTCTCTGCGCAATGTTGGTGCTGCTTCTTGCTGAAGTACAAGTGTCAATGGCAGTAACATGCAGCCCAGTGCAGCTGAGTTCATGTGTGAGTGCAATTACATCTGCATCTCCTCCTTCTAAGCTATGCTGCTCCAAGATCAAGGAACAGAAACCCTGTCTCTGCCAATACCTCAAGAATCCCAATCTCAAGAAGTTTGTGAACTCTCCAAATGCCAGGAAAGTTGCTAGTACTTGTGGAACTCCCTACCCAAGGTGCTGAGTGTTCTAGCTGGAAGAAGGAAACTTTCTCCGCCTACATACAGTATGCACAGCTTGATGCATTGTGTTCTCTGGTCAGATGTTAGAATAAGAATACTATTATGTTTGGTGTGATCTGTCATCATTTTGTTTCACTAGTAGTAAATGAACTAGTCTTGATGGATGTGAAGCTGTGATCATATTTATTTCCATTCTATGTTCCTTGGTGTGAGCTCATCTTACAGTGGCTGTTGAAGGATGTACTTATAATTCAAAGCAGTGTCAGATCATGTTTACTTATTAAAAGCCTCTCTCTCTCTCTCTCTCTCTCTCTCTCTCTCTCTCTCATTTCATTATTGCTCCAGTGAAAGTTAGTGTGAAGAGCAAAAATCATTCCAGTAGTAAATATTAATAATGAGAATTGCATCTTAAATGATTTTAGCCAGACGTCAAGAGCCAACAGGGATGTGTTCTTTTTGCAAGATGAGGCAACTGTTAAAACAATAGTTTCTGTGAAAGACTGAACTAGTAACAATACCAATACAAGAAAGAGAGATATTATTAGCTAAAGGGTATCCTAGATTTTTTTTTTTTGGACCATAGGATCCTAGAATGAAGCTTCAATTTCTCAAGAATATGTACAAGATTACTTAAGATCAAGATATAAAGAATTAAGAAGCTGCCGCCTTTAATACTTATCTTGCCAGCTTGACCATTGGTTTTATGTGTTCATCATAATTTTTTCAATGCATACGAAAAAGCTCAGGTTCACGGGTTGATGCTTATAGAATTCATCTTGCGCAAATGCAGCTGCTTGGCTAAAATTCGTGGTTCCTATTTGTAGAAATGCTCAACATAATAACTGCTTAAAAACATTAATGAAGAGGTTTCCAGCCAATACAATAAAGGCATGATCTGAGTAACTTCTTTTTCTTTTTGCATATAGCTAAAACCCATAAAGGCCACTAAGTCTTCCTCTGTGTGGAGGATTCAATAAGAATCTTGCACATTGGATTTCATCTTGTCTATGAAGATTGTTAATTTCAACCACTCATTTGAAGTTTGCAAGTCTTGATGAATTGGCATTTAACTGGATTTCTCCAAAGTAACCGCAATGCTTTGTGTATCTAAAATGTTTTGCAATTAAAGGTGCTGTGAATTTCATCGCCAAATACAGTTTAAAGCACTTCATTTAGTTCACTTACGAATCCGTATAAACAAAAAGCATGACCTTCAAGCTGAATAGATATAAAGTCAGAGGTTGCCATAAAATGAAAAGGTATTCAACATCTATCTATTTAAAAAAAAGAGAATATAATATTAGATTGGAATCCAAATGGAATGGATTAGTTTATTAAGGAAAACAATTGTTCAAAACAATCATTTTGAATTAAGCTGAATAAAATTATACATAAATATAAAAGGCAGAAATTCTTTTTCATGTACAAGCATTTAATGGAACTTAACAGACACGATTCCTACAAGTTAAGAAGGTTTGTTATATTATTCCAGCCCATGAGCCATGGCCTCTTATCAGATGGCAGCACAAAATTCAGCTCAAACATCTCCTTTGACATGTTGCCTCCTTCACAGAAACCTACAAGCTTTGCAACTATTTGAGCACTCTCATGTATATGCTTGGGATCCTGGGGATTAGTCCAGAGCTTGTTAACAAATTGTATCTTCCTTTGCTTCCCATCAAGAGGGACATCCCATTTAATATATAACGCATCCCTCTCCTCTGCTGTCAAGCGTGAGGTCAATCTCTTGGCAAGAAATTCTCTTTCTCGTCTCAAGGCCCTAATACTGTAGATTACACAAACTTTCTAGTAAATAAAAATTCTTCTTCATAAAAAATTTGTTGTTCAACACACACAGAGAGGGAAGAACAAACCTTGATGACAGAGAGATGGTAGGCTCATCCCCAAAGTGAGCTGGGCTCGCATCGCCAAGTTGTGCAAGGTGCTGTTGCAACCAAGTCAACCGCCTTAGTTCCACTTCCAGGTATATTTGATCAGCTGGGTCTCCCTTGAATAATAAGTAAAACTGCGTCCTATGAATTATGGAGACATAACATAGGTCCCATAAGTCAATGATCTGCTGCCGTTGCTCTTTAAATAGTACTTGCCATGAAACTTGTGGTTCTTCTGATTCACAGAAGTTCTCTTCATTTTCGATATCGTGGCCATTTGCTTCATTTGCTTCAAGCTCAAGCACCTACATATGCAAAGGAATGAGAGGACATGAGTAAACCTCTAATCTTAAATGAGGAAGCTTACAACATCAATGTAAGAAGATTTCAAGGGATATATGAACGGCATAAAGAAACAGTATACCTGACAAACGAGTAATTGCTTTTGATATTGCAGTTTGGCCACACGTTCTTTCAATTCTGTTACATACGCTCTTATACTTCTTACATTCTCTTCTGCAGCATTCTGAAACATTTTCTGCATTTTCTTCATGTTAACTGAACTGGAGCGTCGATAACCCGAATTATTTTCCTTTGATGAAACATCTCCCCGTCTTCACTCTTTGATGGAGTCTCCTTTTCGGACTCTGGCAGAATCTCACTAGTAACATTATCATCATTCTCAGGAGCCTTGTTTTCAATATCAGATTCCAAAACCTGTTGAGTAGTTGATAATGGTGAGCAGGGAGACCGTAAGAAGTTTTGTCGATTGGCCGCATTACTTGAAGCCAAAGGAATCAACTTTTTCCTTTTGTGTTCTTTTTTGTTCTTTAAGTGTGCTTCGTCATTTAACTGCTGATGGTTGCTGGGGAGAGACATCACCAACTTGTCTATAGACCTTTGAACATTCTCAAGCTGCTGCTCAAGATTTGCAATGGTGCTGCCCTGTGAATGAAGTCTAGTAATCTCTTCCTTGAGGTTCGCACTAACACTTTTATCAATAGCAACCATGCTTCCAACTTCAACATCCTTAGACATTGGCTTGGCTGACTGCATTTCCCTTATTTCTGCCTGCAGCTTTGCAATAGTCTCAGCTGCATCTTGATTACCTAGTCTGTGACATGCCACTTCCTTTTGTAATACTTCCAAAGCTCGATTAGCTTCTTCACCTAATTGCTCTTGGAGGTGCTCAAGTTTGCGGATTTCATGCATGAGGGCAAAAGGGGCAGTAGAAGATTGCCTCATGGACTGCCTTAATGCTGTGTTCCTTGCTCTATCACCACCACCTGGCACTGATAATGCACCAGTGAATGAGAGACACTTTTTGACCGAGAGATGGGGTGATTCAAGTGGGCCTGAGACCTGCAGTGTAAAAAGGCAATAAAATCAAAGGCAGCTGAGATGAATCCGGCAATAAAATTAATGGAGTTGAAATGAGTCAAGAGAGAAGAATGTGAAGGTGGAGAAAGAGACCTGCTGATCTTCTTGGAGTTTTTTTCGTAACTCATCCACCTGAGATTGTGCATGGTCCCTTTGGCGTTTCAGGTCTTCGATTTCCTTCTCCATCTAGACATAATTAGCTAGCAACATTCAGTAAGGTGGCATAATACTTATTGTTCGTGCTAATTAACACTGTTTTCCAATTTACCTGTTGAATTTTCCAATCCTTTTCGTTAGATGGATCCGGAGTGCGCAACTCTGCCTCGAGTCTAGCTACTTCCTTTTGCAAACGTTTAACAAGCTGCTTCTCCGAAACAACCTATGCAAATCATTTGATAAAAATTGTCATTCAAAAGTTTGGAATTTTAAATGTTAAATAGAGATAAAAAGTAAAGAAAGCTATAAATTAGTAGTTACCATGTTCACTTGAGCATTATTTGTTACTTCCTTTGCTCGGGTAGCAAAGAAAAGAGTGTTTCGCGATTGTTCTACATGACTTAGTGCCGGACTCAAAGTACATATGATAGCAGTGCGTGCGTTCCCCCCAAGGGAATGTTGCAATATGCGCGTGAGCTTTGAATCTCTATAAGGTATGTGACCACTTCTTTTTCCAACACTGCATAGTATTTCAAAGCAATCTGTCAGAAGAGTGTGTCTCAAATAAATCCCAGCAGAATGTTAAACCTCAACTCAGTAAACAACAAAACGAACCTCAATACAGTCTTTGATCTGGTCTAAAGCTTGAACATTACCGTGAGCAAGTATTTCAATGAAATTTACGGCAATACTCAACAACCAATCCTATTTTTTAAACAATTTCCAAGACCTCCCATTTGAATTACTAGAACACCATGTTAAAAAAATAGTAGAAACATACAAGTAATGAATAGATACTTTTAGTAATATTATTTTTTGTGCATTATATTTACTTAATGCTTTGTAGCCAATTGAAGCGGTTGAAAGATGCATCTGAATTATAGATCTATGACTGGATACTTCTAGCAAATAAAAGAATCCTACAGACTGCAAAACGATCATAGACCATTATGAACATCCAACAACATTTCATAAAAGTAAATATTATAGATTCTGACCTGAGCTTTCTGATGACAGTTGTAAGAGTCATCAAGCTAAGGTTAATATGGCAACCTTCTCTGAGCCTAGTGCCATCTGCATGTGTCTGGGCAGCCCTTTCACTTCCAGCCAGATCAACAAAGTTCTACAACCATTAACACGGGTCAGTAATTGTTATTAAGGAACTAATCTTACCTAAGAAATTTTAAAGTGATTGATTTACCAGGGTCGCAACAAAAGATTTCACACAGTCTGAATTTTCACGCAATGTACTCTGAATTGTCTGCAATAAACCAAAAAGAAAAGGTGTTTTAAGCAATGAGGTAATTGAAACAAATGACGAACCTCTTCTATGCGTAACAACATGTGTTTACAGTGCTAAAACTGACCAGCCTTATTATTTGGTGGGATCGAGAGCTAGTATCATTGAGAGCAGTTTCACCAACCTGCCTCTGAGCTGGACATAAAAAAGTCGTTGAATGCAATCAAAACACTGTTTTTGTGAGAAAAACCGGTCCAACCAAAGTGCAGGGAAAGAATTTGCTACCTTCACAGATTGAGATCAGGTGTCTCAAATGCTTGTCATCATTTGCCGTTTCTTCCACCAACTTCTCAACCACGGTACCTTTCTACATGAAAGTAATTAGGACATAATATTTCAACTCCATGGACAAAAATTCCTCAACTTTAACAAAATCTGAAATAGCTTCAGAAAGATTACCTCAGGATCATCTAGCAGCTTCAGGTTGCGACCAGATTCTGAATTTAACAGGTCCCTAACGTTCTCATTGTATATTTCTAGTCCTGATATTTTTATGGTAAAATCTCTCTCTGGGGTCTGCAATCATGCCATTGAAAGGATTAGACATGATCAAAAAGATTAGTAAGAATTTAACAAAGCACAGTTTTCCATGTGACAACTTAAAACTTACGTTCATTATATGATTATAAATATCATTGACAGCCTTCTCTGTTATTCCCCTCATTGTGTATGTCTTTCCACTGCTAGTTTGTCCATAAGCAAAAATAGTTGCTGCCATAAACTTACATCAATTATATAGTGCAGAAACACAGTAAGTCAACAATCAACAATATATGATTATCAATATGAGTTATACCATTAATGCCCATCAAGGCAGACAATGCAACATTCTTTACTCCTTCCTCGTACACAGTTTCAGTCAAACAAGGAGGACCAAAAACCTTATCTACAAGAAGAAAACGCCACATCAACAATCAACTATTAGAATGTTTTAAAATGAGTTTAGAAGAGATCAAAGGAACAGCAAACTGGTAAAAAGCAAGAAAACCCTTTGAGTAGAAATGTGTCTGCGGTACCAAAAGTAAACGAGGCCGGTTGAGCTACACGTTCATGTGCTGCTGGTTTATGCACGATTGTATGATCATCAATGCAATCCCATGCCACTTGATCTCTAGCCAGTTGCTCCTTTTTGTTTAAAGGCCTTACCCTTACTGTCACCACAATCTTCTCCTCCTTAGCTCGTGGCCCTCCAGGGGTCGATGCTGGTGTCCTATCTATTTTTGAAGCTGGTGTTCCAGGTGTCCGGATAGTCATTTTCTGCCGTAAAATGGCAAGGCCAGAAAAACATTTATCAAACTCACAAAATTACACAAAATGGAAATGAGAATGCTAGATAATTAATTATAGTAATAGATTCTGCATATATCTTGTACAATATTGATAATTATATAATGTTTCGTGTTAGTCTCTTCTGTAATGGCCTCCCTGGCATATGCTTAACCAGCATTCTTAGTAATGTTCAACACTTGGATTCTTTCGCGATCAGCAAAAAAATGACAATTTTAAATGCATTAGATCCCAACCCTTCACCTCATCCATATCAAATTAACGCATAGATCCCATCCCATGTTTCTGTTTTTCTTTTTTCGGCTCAGGGTTCAGACCATACCATCTAAAATTAAATCAGAGATTCCTAAGGCAAATCATTTATATCGATCATCAGTAATCAACGGTAAATAGGTCCAATGATTACGGAATCTAAACCCGAATCCCGTAAATCTTAAACATATAATTAAAAGAAGAAAATTTCACCAGACATAAAACTCCAAAATGGAAAGATTTTTATGATAATGTTCCGTCTATCTTATCATCAAACAAAACCAGAAAACCCAAGTACATAAGAAGGAAAGTCAATAATATTGCATCAAGGGAAGAAATTTTACCATACTCAGCCCCAAATCACATTAAGAAAAGCAAAACGAAATGCAGAAAATTTAGGAAACAGAAGCTGCTACTCACCTATACTTAATGAGTCTGCAAAAAAAACCTGAGTAATATCGTCAAGCAGGGCCAGAAGAAATCAAGCGTAGCTTCCGACCGGGGCCTGGATCTGAGAGAGAAGACGGAAGGAGGAGGAGGGATAGGAAAATTTTCAGATCGATTTGGGTTCTCTTGAGAGTTTGAAGCGTAATCGGTCTTTATGAGATAAGCGAAAAGGCCAATTGAGTCTTTCTGCGACCACTCCTCATTTGAATTGGGGGACCCCTAACGGCTAGTTTATCTCTTTCTCGCAATTTCCTGTCATATTTAATTAATCCATAAATTTCATACTACTACCATTATTTATGAACGTTTCTGTGCGTTAATTGCCAGCAAAGAAGGAAGAAGTGGGGCCCGTTTGAAAATCTAACGGCTTTTGATTTGTTCTTTCTTTTAAAAATAACGTTTTCCGTAGGCAAAAGAAGACAAAAAGCGGAAAAAGGAAGACGCTGCTGATTGGTTGGGGCATAGGTTACATTTCCGAGTTTTCGTAGTGCTTTTTTATTTCATTCTGACGTGTTTGATTTTGTTTTTTTTTATTTAGTGGAAAATGACACAAATGAGTTGATAAAATGAATAATTTAAATTAAAAATCGTACTAAATTAGTATTTTAATTGTCAATAGTCATTTGTATTATTTACTATCACACTGAAAATTTGACCAGGTGTCTCCTCTGAGTAAACCAAACAGAAGGAGGTTCAGCTATGTGCGAAATCAAATATTTAAATTCCTTCTTTTTTTAAAAAAAGAAAAATGTCTTAATCAGATTTGTAAAGGGGGAAAAGGACTTGATTGATGTTATATTTAAGTTTTAGCTTTTTTACCTAATATTTATAATTAATTATAAAACTTTCTGACTAATCAACCAAACCACTCTAACTAATAAATTTTATTGGGTATAATTTCGTTAATTTATATAAAATTGTAACTAGATACTTATAATTTAATTTCATTAAGTTAATTAAATTTGCTTATAGCATGGAGACATAATTTATGATTATCGTAAACCTTCCCCAAGATTGTAAAAACTTGCATTTCTTACACTTGTACCACTGGCGAAACCCCCTGTTGATATCATTGGTGATTTGTGGGGCGAACACCTTTCCTTGTTAATAAAAAAATTATTGTTGCTTCGAACGTTTGTTATTCAAAGTTAAGCCCATAGCTCAAGAACAGTCATCACTAAGCAGATTGTAGTGAAATTTGATGTTATTTTGACTATAACACCCCCACCCCCAATTAATGAAGAAAGCGAGTGTATTTGATGAACTTCGATTATTTGAGCTACAGCATTTTTTGATAATCGAAGGACAAAATTGTAGAAAAGTAATTAATGCTTGTTAAAATTCAAAAGTGATGATCATTTTGGATTAAAGCAAACAAAAGCTCTGAATTGACAAATATTTTGAGACAAATGTTGCTTAATTTTTCATAACATGACGAATCAAGATTCAGATTACCTCTGAAAAATATGTTTACATTTAGTGTCCGACAATACCTCAAATAAAAAAATACCTCTAATTTAGCCCCCAAAAAAAAACAAAAAGGATGGTTGGGCCTTTTACATATTGGTGAAAAGATCCAATATTCGTTGGACGAAAGATAAGCATTTTGCACTTGGCGATGAGGCCGAGACACTGAGAATGATCGCCGAGGGGCGTGCCCCAGGAAGGCTAGTGGAATTCGCACGGAATACATTCATGGGTCATGCGGGTTGGCCTGAGGATAACGACAAGTTTTTGTAGTGTCTTGGTAAATACTTCCCATCATGGCATTTTGATAAATTCCCGTTTATAATTCATGGCTCAAAAACTCGGATAATGACTCTTTTTTTTTTGAGCCAAGCATAATGACTCTTACACGTCACGGAAGGAGAAAATTCAACGGAACAAATAAAAAATCTTCTTGCAAAGGATTGGAACATTGTATTGTTTCAATCATGTAGCTCGCCAGGCAAAGAACCTCATCTACATAATTTATAATCACAAGGATGATAGTATACAAGTCATACAAATCATGAGGGCTAGCCAGATAACGGCATAGTGACAGACCCCCAGTCTAAGAAATAACAGCGTAGTGATGATTAATGATCTCACCAGAATTCATGTTCTACAGTTCTCCACAAAACATATCTGTAATATCTATCACAAACACCAGATGCATGGCACACACAAAAATTAAGCCTTCCGCAGGAATATATATGTCATCGATTTCCAAAGCATCAGATGATCAACTCAACTAAGTTGGACACCAGCAACAAGCCTTCTGTTGCCACTGGCTCGATCAGCAGAACTAAACATGCTCTTGCATAATGTTCTTTCTCCTTAAGTGAGGCACTTATTTAAACATACAACACTGATCTTAAAGTGGGTAAACATTGTACAATACCGCGATTACCCTCCCTTTTTCTCTCAATACAGCAACTGCTCATCTCATATGGAGCCAAAACTGGTCCTTGCAAATGCAATACAGCCAATTCTCGCAACTCTGCCCTTGCCCTTTTTTCTCTTACGATCAAAATATAACCATATCAACACGTTCAAGTCTTAAAAATTAAAGGCATCCCAACCACTAATAAACAGAAAAAGCTTGGACAGTCTTAGCTTAAGCCCCCATATCTTCCATACGATCATCACATCTGACAAGGGCCAGCTCATATACAACAACTCTGATTCTTTTTCAGTTTTCGTCTTAGTGATCTTCATTTCCTTCACTTGAAATTATCTTCTCCATCTTTTTTGCTGATTATGCACGTAACATGAACCCACATTTATGTACTCCCTACGCTGTCACAATCTTCAATAGATGAACAACTTTTAACAACTTAGCACTGGGAACCAGCATAGAAATTCAAGGCAAATAGTTTTAGCCAAGAGGGTGGATCAACATGTCATCTCATTGGTCACCTGTGATATGTACTGTGTGATATGAAGAACTGATAATCTGGGTGGTTCACATGCAGCAGTCTCAACCACTTATCTGCAGCATGCAAGAGGGAATTTGCTAGTTGACTCTCACTAAGGCCATTTTGCATCCAAATAGATCCCTTTAACTTGTATGAGGCCATTGCAAATGTGGGTAAGGAAATCTTTGGTTCTCCATCCATGTCATTCGGAAAAACCAACGTTGGAGTCTGAGCCTGAGTAGGTCCACTTCCTGCAAAATTTAATGAATAATTTATTTATGAAGTAAATTAATTGATATTGCATGCCATATAAAATTAAAATTGACAATCTAAAAGGAAAAAAAGATAGTTGTTTCTGCATACAGCAGTCATGACGTCAATCAACCTTTTGACCTAGGTATTATTAGCATCACTTTCTCCTTCTTTTTTTTTTTGGTTGTAAGTTCAGATCCTAGATTGCTAGAGTGGCCAACTCATACCAAGGGACTTCAGATTATAAAAACAAGGGTGAAATGAAAATCGGAAAAAGGAAGAATCAAAACTTAAAATAAGATGAAACACTAACCGTAATAATTAGTCTAAGTGTCAGTGGACAGATGAATAGTTATAACATTTGTCAGTGGTAAGAATTTGCATAACTTAAAAAAACTTCAAAAACCGAGATCTTCTCAAACTGATCTTGGCATATTTTGACATAAATGGGAGAAGGTTTCTCTCCCTCCCTCTTATCCCAAAGGGCATAAACCAATAAAAGATTTCGAATTAAGTGGTTAAATCTTTATAAATGATGACCCAAAAGTAGGGCTAAATCTCTATCAGCAAGGCCTAGAATTCCATACATGCCAAAATAGGCCAATAATCAATGATTACCTGTCAAGGGTGTATGAAGTGTATGGTATGTCAGAAAGCAAGCATCCAGATCTTTTAAAGTTGGACCCGTGGGTATTCGGTAGATAGGATACCTAGAAAATAACATTAGAGAGCGTCAATCAACACAAAATATATATATATATATATATCATCAAAACATTACTTCAAGTTAGTCCTACCACGCCACAGACATCCAACTGGAAGGCAATAAATCACAGCTTCTCAGTGACTTGAGGCCAGGATAATGGCGTGAAAGATCTATTATCTGTCCAAATATTATTCGTGTAAGATGCTATGCCAATATCAAGTGCAAAAAAATAACATATTAAGCTCAGTACTGACCTTGTCAGCCAATGGTTCACGGCTATAAGGAGGGTCTTTCTCAAAATACTCAAAAACAGGAAGATCTAGAGTCCCTGTTTCACTGTCATCGCTAGAAAATCCTTCTTGCATTGCATTGTGTTTATCACGTACAGACAGCCCACTCATGCGTAAAGAGACATCACCTGTAAGATGTTGATAACTTCTCTGTGCCGCAGATGGTTCAGTTCTCTTTCCTATTTCAAAGTCACTGCTTCCCTCACTACTTGAATCCCTATAAGAATCACCATCACTATCTTCCCCAACATACCTAATCGAATGAGAAAATTAGATCTTCCTACAAGCAGAAAGACATTCACATACTAAACAGTGTACACTAAAAAGGTGACTCGACGATTGCTCATAAGTTGAAAAAATGAATATACAGAGTTAATAGAAATATACATGAGTGTGTGTGCGCGCGGAGACATAACGAATACACATTCAAGAATCAGTGACCATGCATATAAGGTGAAAGCGGCAATCAATAGATTGACATGTTAAACATGAATCATATGCTGAAGAAGGAAGGCTCAAATTTTGTCCGAGAATTAAAAAGGTCAAATGAAAGAGAAGTAAATTTTACAAATTTGAGTATGTATACATTTGTTTTACCACAACCAAGGAATTATATGTGCAAAGGACATGGATGTCAGCATGAAACACTATTATCATGTAATCCTTCAGTCCTAACTATAAGACCCTTATAAATATAAGACCCTTATACACACGGAGGAGTATGTTATTTTACTTTTTGCTCTAGCAATGGAAGGCTAGCCACACTTCCGTGGATAACAAAAACAAATCTCACTTCCTATTATAAGAAGGTTCCCGGAGTTCACTTGAAGGCGGGAAACATTTTGAACTCTTTCACTTCCTCAGTTCCTCTATAGGTAGGAAAGAAATTCATTTTTCCTTTCACTTTTAACCCGCACTATCAACTAGCATAACCTAGCATATCACTAACAGCTAAATTATCGCATTAACAAACAAATCATGGAGAGACAGAAAAAGGGAGTAATATCTGCTTAAATTTATGTAAATATTATATAAAAGATTCTACATAGGATATTGGAATACCTTGACTTTGCATATGACTTCTCAGCAGATTGACTGTATAGTTGGATACCCGACAAGTAAGGAACGTAATATTGAACAACAGATTCACTTTGACCAAGAACCAAAGGGACTCCTGCCCCATATACACTCCACTCCCTAAACGATTCCCAGAGATCATTAAGGGTGAAGTAAGACTGATACTCAACATCACAAGTCTTCCAGCCTCTCATTGTTGTCTACACCCTCAAAAAGAAGAAACACGAGTCAAAATTCATATGGTGATATCATGAATTCGGGATATAAAATTTTGCAGCTGCCAATAATCAAGCAGTTGAAAGTAAGAGGGTGAAAGTAGTGATAATTCTATCCTAAGCTAGTCTACTATTTCTGATAATTAATATTCCATCTGCAGTGCATACATTGATCATCGGACAAGTCCCGTGAATGCTGTAGGTTGTAACTTTAAGTCAAAAAATTTAAGATCAAAACTAAATATATAACTCATTTTCACAACTGCCTCCCAATTCCAAAACAACCAATAAAAGAAATAATTAGATCGACCTTAGAAAAGTACTGAGCTGGGACCAATGGCCTTGTAGACTCCAGAAATCTATCAATATTACAAGCAGGCATTACAGACGGACAAGAAGAAGGTTTTGTCGACGAATATGAATGCTCATTGGAATTCTTATTCTCGGAAGCAACATCTTTGGCCTTTGGAGTTGAATCAGCAGACCCAGTTTCCCCGCTCTTGGCTTTCTGTGCTTGTTTACGCTGATTCTGGCTCTTCCTTGCCTTGACCGGAATGTAAAACCGATCCTCACCGCGAACACCCCCAAACTGCAGGGCGGTCCCAAGCATTTTTCGAGCCTATGGGTAGCTTCTCCTCCGTTTATTTGCCGAGGATAGGATGAAAGGAAGTATCAGATGATAAGAAAAGCCAAATTCTTCCTCTTCGTCCTCTTCTTGTTTTTCCCCTTCCACACTCAGATTTCCCAAACAAAATCTTCCAATGACTGACAAACAAAAGCTCAGATAAATCAGTGGAAATTGGATTTGTCTGGCCCCTGAACTCCTAAAATAGCTTTCTCAGCCCAGAGAACTATAGAGAATCAATAAGAATTACGCAGATTATTACTCTAACTTTCTTAGGTAGTTGGGCAGTTTCTCAATAACCAAACGCAGCAAATAACGCCCAATCCGCCTCTAAACAAATCCAGGACCGCGTAAGTGATCAGATGAGACGGAAATTTTTTTATAAAAAAAAACCCAGAAATTTGAGAAACTTGGAACGAAGAAAAAGGGATCAAACGTAGGATTAGAATGATTGGAAGCGAAGGGAGTATTGAGTGAAAGTGCTTAGTTTTGCCGGGAATGAAGGAATATATGGGCGACGGGAAAAAGAAGGGAGCGATGGAAAATGAAGAAGCTTGAACCACACTGTCTTGACAAGAGAAACCAGAGAGGAATTCCTGTTGTTTTCCTTTGGCATTGGAATTCACTATTTATATTTATTTTTTTATTTTTATGCCTATGGTAAACAAGCAAATAAGATGCTCAGGGTCGGGGCCCGGGGGCCGTGGGCGATAAAATAATTATGGAGAAGTTGTGGGGCCGTTTTTGCCTTGGCTGGAGGATTGGTGACAAGTAATAAAGAAGGATTTGGCACCATGGCATTGCATTGACACGTGTAATGACGAGTAGGTGAGACACGTGTATGATCACCTGTGCAACGGTGTGTTTCAGAGTCAAACGTGCCAACCAGTTAAGGCTGCCACGTGGCGACACCACATTTTGCAAACGGGCCCTACCTCCTTTTTCCCTTCACGAAAGTTAAGAATGGCCTCAAGTTTCAACTATTCTAATATGTCAAATTTTATAATCATTTGTTAAGTTTTTTAATTAAACATAGTCACATATGCTATTTTATTTGTATAAATTTATAATTAAATTATTATATTTAAAAAACTAATACACATGATCATGATTGGAGAATGGAACAGTTAGAATATGAAGATTCAAATGTAAGTATTGTACTTTCAAACACTTATCAAACACTTATGTTTATGGAAATGATTTCTCTACCATTAACTTCTTTTATTTTGTTGTCCAAAGTTTAAAGTTTAGGGTTTTTTTTTTTTTTGCCATCAAAGTTTGGAAAGTTATATATCTTATACTGCCTTTTTTGCTTAATGTAACAGTTAATTATAAATTAAATTTTATTCTAAATATAATATCTCTATTCACTTTGTACCTTCAAATTTATGATTCATTCTAAAGTACTTTTATTAATTACACATGCCAAGAGATTTTTATCAAAGGGTAGCCATGATTACAAATAATATTTTAAAAAAACCAACTCATATTCATTACAAGTAATTAATTTAACTAATTTTTTTAATATATTTAAATTAGTTAAATAACTCTTATATTAAGACAGGATTATCATTTAAAAATAATTAAGATATGACAGGCAAAAAAATTAAGATAGGGAATAATTTTACCCTAAATATCCTATCCTACCGGATTAAGCTGGGGTGGTCATAATAATCCGAAACACGTCACAAAATGCCGGGGGGGGGGGGGGGGAACACATTACGAATGCACTGGTTGAACTTCTCTCCTTTCTATCTTAAGGCATATCAACTCTAGTATTTAGTTTTGTCTAACCAAATTCAGTGTGTCTCTCTCCTTCCTATTTTTTCTTGGCCATCCTCTTTCCTTCTTATTTATTTTCTAAAAATATTAAATGTTTATTTTATAAAGTAACGAGCAAGAGAAAAATAAGTAAAACTGAAACAAACATTAATTAATAGGGGTAAATTTAGGAAAAATGAATCAATTTGAAATGGAAAACAATTAACCAGATATGTAATGAGATGTACGGAGATAATTGTGATTTGGATTTGGGGTTAGAGGATCTCGCAATAACCTTCTGTTTATGAAATGTTTGATAAAAAAGTTACCACTAAGAAATGTGCAATAAACAGCTCATCCCTTAAATATTTCTTTTGTTTTTTTTCCATGAAAATATTTCTTGTATATTAACGTGTTAGGTTTAGTGAATAGAACTAGTCTCTATGACAAAACAAAATTCAAATTTTTACTCACATTTAGGGAGTGTTTGGATAGAAACCAAACCATGGTTTTAAAAGTGCTTTTACGATTTACGAAGTAAATATGTGGAGGAATTTACCTCGTTTTGCGGAAAAGTGCTTCTGAAACCTTAGTTTGGAGGTTGTCAAACACCCTTTTAGTGTATGAGAATGTCTCGAATAGAATTATTTTCAATGGAAGAATATTTATACGTAATGAGAAAAAATATTTCTTGTACTATAAACAGTTCAATAAATTATCTCATTCAGTACTACTGTGATTTATGAATAAGATAGATTGGACTATTAATTATGACTTATCAACAATAAGTCTTGTTGCTATTTCATATTTATATATCTGTGTTCAATTGCTCATTTTGAAATACTATTATATGTTTATATTACCTAATCTTATGGGCACGTCACTTTCTACATTAAATGTGTATAAATACATAAATGCCTTTTTTATATGTTTTTATCAGCAAGATAACGTGTGAGACAATAATGAAGTTGCCATGGAACTAATTAAGACATATTTTTACGGGCTCCATTGGTATTTGGATTCGATGCTTACAAGCAATTTTACAGTATAGAATAAGTATGTGACGAGAGTTTTGTATCCACTTGTGTCAAAACACATTTTAAGTGTTTGTGAATGAGGCATTTTTCAAAATAACTTTAAAAAGCATTTTTTACATATATCATAAAATTATTTTTAAAAAATTAATCCAAACAATCGTAACTTTCCTTTGGCCACTCTAATTCCATTGCGGGATCTGGATTCTTCCAGAGAATCCAAATTGGGACTAAATGCCAAAAAGAGATTTATCTTGTTGGATAATATCATACTTTACAATTCCAATGATAACTCTTCCTTGAAAGTACTAATTAAGAGAAAATATACATTGAAAAAATGAATTTCTTTTTTTCCCCTTCTTCCCCCCCCCCAAAAAGTGAGCTTCGATTACTGTTTAAGAACTAGGATGGACGATAAAATTAATATAATATTCTCTGGTTCTTAATATAGGACCAATTCTTGAGTTGGTTTTGTTCCTAAATATAAGACTCATTTCTTATATTTATCAATTTTTCTAAATTACCTCTATGGATACTCCTCGACTATAACCAAGTAGAAGATGGAAATAGAGTATTAAGAAAGATGATTATGGTATTTTAGAAAAAATATGTCATTTCTCTTATAATTAACTAACTTACCTAACTTTCTTAATCTAATCAAATTAGGTAAATGAGTTTTATATTAAGAATCGAAGGAGTAATATTTAAGAGTAATTGATGATTGTTTCATTGTGGGCAGGAAAAAATTACTGATTGTTTGTCTTGTCTTTGTGACGAGGGAACCGATTTTATCAAGCAAATTAAAGTTGCCGGCATTAAAAAAACAGATGAAATATTTTTGGTCAATATATAAAGCACAGTTGACCAAGACTAAATAAAAATTTGCTGATATGAATATGGAACAATATATGTGTAAAATAAAATTATAGATACGTTTACGGAGAAATGCGTCAAGTTCTGCTGGCCAAAAACGTTGTTTATGATAAATGAATGTAGATTTAATTGCCAATCAAATATTTGTCATGCAAAATTCGAGAGACTCGTGATAAAATCTAAAAACGAAATAAGGGCTTAATTTCAGAGCTTCAAATATTAGGGGAAAAAAAGAAGAGAAACGAGTAAATGAGCAGGATATGCTGATCGCTGGAAAATAACAATAGTGAAAAAGCTTGAAAAAAATATAAATATAAAAACTTTGTCAAGTTTGAATGATTTGAAAGGATAAGTTTGTCAAAGTTTGAATGATTTGATCCATCTGGAATTGTGGATATTAAAATTGGGCAATAAATCAGAATTAATATGTTTTAATCATAAGATATACTACCTCCGGTTCTAATTATAAAAACCAATTAACTAATTTGAGGAGATTAAAGAAATAAATTGAGTTAGTTATTTGTCCTAAATAGGTGTTGTCTTTCCTAAAATATCCTTACTAATCAAGTGTATTGACTAGAACTATTATTATTAGAAGAACTATTTTGAAAAAAAATATATAAATATAATAGACAAATTAGATTAGAATATTATATTTAGGATCAAAATAAAAGTCAAATAGGGTCTTATATTAAGGATCGGAGGTAGTAGATAATCTAAGACGAAAGTGATTTTTCAGCAGCAGCTTAAAAGTACAAATTAAAAATTAAAAATTAAAAATTTTAAAGTGAAAGTATTCAAATTAGATTTGCATGGTCCAAGTCATAATTACGTGAGCAAAGTGATGGAGAAGAATGAAGAAGTGGGGTTTGGTTTGTAAGTGAACGTGAAGAATTATTAGAACCAGTGTGGGAAAGAAGGTTGGTGTGTGCATGTCTGGATGTGAGTGAGGGGTTGTTTTAGGAGTTGTTGGGAAGTGTGGGCTTTCAAACTCTTGAGACTGAGTAGTTGCAACAAACACAGCCTCACATCCCATTCCCCTCACCACCTCCATTAACCATCAACCCCCATCATCCTTATAACTTCCTTAATCCAACCATAATCCAACCATTAACAACTCCTACTTATAAGGTAGATAATGTTGTAATAGCATGTAAATCTGCCTGAGAAGACACGAGGTCACAGGTTCAAACTCGTGAATTGTGTATATATTCTTTAGTGATTTCATTTTAGAGTACGAGATGGTTCTAATTAGCTTTGATTTGTCATTCTTATACATGATACTACCTCTAATTCTTAATACAAGAGCTGGATTTATTTCTAATTTGATCCTAGATATAAGACACCGATCTACTCTGTCTTTTATATTTATTTATTTATTTTTCAAAATAGTCCTTATAGTGATTGCATATACTAAATATTTCATCAATAGCAGTTTTAGCTAATATAAATTATTAGCGAGGGTATTCTTGGAAAGACAATACTTATTTATTATAAATAACTAACTTAACTAATTTTCTTAATCTCCTCAAATAGGTCAACTAGGTATTATATTAAGGATTGAAAGTAGTAATTACGATAAAATTTGATTTTATTTTTATTCGTCTAAAGATTTTTTGTTTTTGGACTAATGTGTTTGAGGAACCAAAACCATTGATTTGAGGGATCAAAATCAAAACGCAGAAATTAAAAGATGATACCAACTCTTATAATTACTGTATGGCCTCTCACTAAAAATAAAAGGGGCAAATAAGAGCCCACATTCCCTTATTTTACAGGTTGTTTAATTTGTTTATTAGTCTTCCTTTCCTGATACTTTTAGTTGGTATAGGTGTACATAAATCATAATTGATCACACATTATACAAATTAAGAAAAAAATGTTAGAAAAATTTGATCAATTGGAACTAGTTGAACCATCT